ATGGTTGCCTGTAAAGTCGGTTTTACGGGCGAAGATTTTACGTGACAACGTCTTTTTCTCGGTAGAATATTTATTGATATGAATATAATTAAATTGCACAATAGGAACAAGGAATTGAATGAAAATAAGAATTGCACAAATTTTAACTATAGAAATATATTTTGTTTACTAAAACATTGTACATGTAAACTTAAACTTAACACGAGAGACTCATCGTAACGTTACCGAGCGTTACACTTTTTCATAAGTGACTCCCAGCCGCAACCTAATTTAAGACGTTGTCACGTCAAAATAGACCTAACAACATTGAACAACATAGGGGAAACCACCCAATCATTGGCACTCGTCCTATTATTGGCACTTTTGAGTTTAATTCGAAAAAACAATGAGATAATAGATTATTCAAGGTTGTTACATATTAAAAAGAAAAACCTGGTATGGTTTCCAAATTTGAAAATAGACAGCATTATTCCTACAATCTATTTTTTCCTGGTGTTTTCGAAATAAACTCAAAAGTGCCAATAATAGGAAGAGTGCCAATGATTGGGTAGTTTCTCCTACCTACTTATTAATAAACCAAAAATAAGCTTGCATTAGTAACTCCATATTTTGTCTCTGTTCATCGAATGACATAAGGTATTTGAGTGACAGGAACAAAACACGGCGTAAGTAGTCTGAGCTTATTCCTTGTTTATTAATAAGGCAGGAGTTTAAACATATGTACGTTATGTTTTTTATGTGGCATTGATGAAATGCCTTGTGTTTCCAATCTTTCTTTATGGAGCCAAAACTTGGTCTTTGAGACTGCAGTATCGCCGTAAAATCGATGGATTGGAGATGTGGTGCTGAAGACGCCTCCTAAAGATCCCGTGGACGGCATTTCGTACCAATGTATCCATCCTCAAAGAGTGATAAAGACAGTCTCTCGTCAACTGTGCAACTACGAATACTGAAGTTCTTTGGTCACATTTCTAGAAATGAGAATTCGATGGAAAGGCTTTTGGTTCTAGACCATGTGGAAGGCAAGAGAGCACGCGGCTGATCACCAACCCGCTGGATAGACGCTATCACAAAGGCTACTGAGTCCACCTTGGTCCAGTGTACTCGCGACACCTCGAACCGTCAGAAATGGAAGCACATCGCCAGGAGAGCTACCCTCGGAATTGATAGCGACTCAAAGAACACCCCACCATGTACCTCTTCAGTGCAACCACGACCACTCTGACAAGAGTGCCCGACTAAGAAGTTAATCTAAAAAAAAGTTTTACTAGAAAAATTCCACACGGACCAGGCAGCGGACGGGACTCGAACCCGCACCCTTCGCAATCTTGCCGAATGCACTGACTAATTATGCTACCACGGCTCTGATGGCCGCGTCGAAATTTTCCTAGCCTTAAGCTGCAAGGCAGCGCCATCTCTTCGCATTGTAGGTAACCCGCAATGTCAAATGAATACTTTTTCAAGTATTAAACATTTGAAAGAAGAAATAGCAATTATATAGGTACGTTTCTAAGAAAACATCATTACGATTTTATTGTTCGTGTGTAATTCAGCTTAGATGCTAAAGTTACATGATTGGAAAGGTCAAAAGTTAATGTATTCTCTTTCGTATGTTATTTCAATCTGGTTACATCTAATTTATATTATTCACACTCAATTTCAAATTTGGTATTTGAAAGACTTATGTATTTATAATAAAATTTGACAACTGATTTGATCAGCAGCTATCCTTTTTCTGATAGTACCTAACACTACTAGAGAAGTCCAAAATGTTATTGTTATAAAATATTGTTTTTCGCTCATAAATATATAATGTTGAGGAGCTCGGTGGCGCAAGTGGTTAGCTCGTTCGGCTGCGATCGTTGAAGTTAAGCAACTTTCGCAATGGTCGGTCATTGGATGGGTGACCAAAAATTTACTATCTCGAACTCCTCCGTGCTTCGGAAAGCACGTTAAGCCGTTTTGATGTCAGTACACATTTGACTCGTATTTCGCACTCGCAAACTATTCGAATTCGATATTGGTTCATGCCAAGACTTATCATCGTTTGGACTGTCCGATTTTTAAATTCACTTCTGTACTTACCGAAGTGTAAGTCAGCCTTTAGAATATAATATTTATGTTTATTTTATACTAATACTAGCAGTCCCAGCGAAAAAATAGGAGTTGATTGTAAAGGGTTGAAAATTCAGGGTTAAATGTATTTACTAATGCTGTATCATAAAAATAATAAAAATAAATCTAAAATTAAAAAAAAAATTAGGGGTGGATTACCCTTAACATTTAGGGGGATGAAAAATAGATGTTGTCCGATTCCCAGACCTACCCAATATGCACACAAAATTTCATGAGAATCGGGAAAGCCGTTTCGGAGGAGTTTAACCACAAACACCGCGACACGAGAATTTTATATATAAGATTAATTGTTCATAAAGGAGAGAAACCGACCGATTCCCAATGAAGGTGTAATTTGAATTGTATTTCGAATATGTTTCTTAGTTTTCACGCACACCACTCATTAAATAAAACAAGTTTCAACGGTATAGATGCACTGATTTATTTATTTATTGACGTTTCGCATCCTTTTCAGGATGCGTCCTCTGAATCTTAAGGACGTCGCATCGTGAAAGGGATTAATCAGTGCATCTATACCGTTGAAACTTGTTTTATTTATTTTTCGAATATAATTCATAACCAAAAAATTGTGCTGTGATTGTTCTAAAGTAAAAAATAGTAGATTATTAACCAAGGGGATAAAGTAGTGTCTTCTGTCGCGGGTGACGATTTAAATCGCGAGCGTAATGAAGGACTCGAGGTTTACTCCCGAGCGTAGCGAGGGTGTTAAAAACCTAAATCACGAGCGAAGCGAGGGATTTAAGACGATTCCTGAGTGTAGCGAGGGATTTAAGTTCACCCAAGACTAAAACAGCTTTATCACCGAGGAAAATACTCTACTTTTCGTACCATTTGCGAAAAAATTAACACAATAATAATATGAGATATGCGTATTCCTTTTTCAAAAAGATGTACAATGCTTTCTATACAAACTCAATGGTGTAAACACAGATGTAGTTCAGTGTAAATTCCGGTAAGTATTCCAAATTTAAATCATATTCTCCCCCTAGAGGATGAATGAAATTCAGTACAATTTTCTTTCCCTGTTTTTAACAGATTAAAAATGACTATTGTTATGTTCGCTTTTTGTGGCATAGAATGTCACTTTTTTGAGCGAGTGGTACAAAATAAATATTATTATTATTTTATGCCAATACGCATCGCGCTATCTAGAGACATTCAATATCTTTGACTTGTGCGTTCCTTACGCACGCCAGTTCATTGACATCGTTTAAACGACGCCTTTCTGTTTTTACGATAGGGGTTGTAAAAATGAATGTAAAGTCTTTTTCAGTCCCTGTTTCATTTTGTTAACAAATGCTACTGTTTGTTATTGTGTGTAAAAATGCTTATTGCGTTTTCGACTAATGCGTGAAACTGGATAGCACAGAAACTAACTACTCTGAGCGTAGACCTGATTGAAGAATGTTATTTTTAGTTCGTTTAGCCTATTGTTATATTTGTTTCTTAGGTTTTCACGCACATCACTCATTAAATAAAACTAGTTTTTCACGGGTTAATGCACGAAACTTTATTTATTTATTGACGCTTCGCAGCCTTTACAGGCTGCTTCGTTGGAATGATTTTTTTATTTAATTTTGTCGAGCTACCTTCGTAAGATTTTTATTGAACGTTTAGTTATTTCATTGTTCAATTTTTAAAGTTTTATTGTCTATGTATGAATTTATTACTTAATTTACTTAATAAAGTGCTTTATTTAAAATTCTTTTTTGTAATTTTGAGTTAATTTATTTGACCCTAACCACCGGTTTCAAAATTGGGAGACCTTTCTGAGAAGAACTGGCGAAACAAATTCAAGAGAGGCTTTCTATCTCTTTCATATGTTAAATTATGGAAACAAAAAGAAAAGAACTAATAGTATCTGTTGGTCTTGCAGTGTGTGCTCGGGGTTGGGATTTTATCTCCTGTATAATGGGTTCCCAAGCTGGTGGTATATACCAACCATCTTTCCTATTGAAATTTGGATATTTTTTAATCTCAATAGCCTCGCGTATCATTCTAGGAATGAATCGTTGCTCAGTTGCAAGGATCTGTAGTTTATCAAATCTAATGTAATGGTTTGGTCCCCCTAATGCAAAGGCTGCGAAACGTCAATAAATAAATAAAGTTTCGTGCATTAACCCGTGAAAAAGTAGTTTTATTTAATTAGCCTATTGTTATTTTTGTCAAAACTACATCTACTAAAAGCCAACCACAAAAATAAGATTTTAGCCAACAGTGAACTACTGATACAAGATACACATACAATAGGCAAGATGATGGGGTAAATAAAATTACATTTGTAGTGAAACACTACTTTACGGAGTGTAAGTGGAAAAAATCCATGGAAAAGATTAGATGGAAATATGTGTGGTCCGTGCATACATTTTTTTTAAATAATATATTTAAAATTTTTCAACATTTAACTGCTAGTTGTTTGTTTATACCGAGAGCTGTAAAATAGAATTTTAACTAATGGATGTTTGTAATTGGCCAACAAAATTATCTGAAAAGATAATTAATTAATTGTTTAATTAATTTTGAGCTGTGTCATCATCATCATCAGCCTATTAATGTCCCCACTACTGAGGCACAATCCTTCCCTATGGATGGAATAGGGAGATTGGGCCATGACCCATCACGCGGGCCCAGTGCGAATTGATGGGTGCTAACGACTGCAGATGCAGCCGGGACCAACGGCTTAACGTGCCTTCCGAAGCACGGAGGAGCTCGAGATAGTGTTGGTCACCCATCCAATGACCGACCACTGCGAAAGTTGCTTAACCTAAACGATTGCAGCCGAACGCGCTAACCACTTGCGCCATCGAGCTCCTCATATTAGATGATCTGTGTACTATTCCTAAAATAAATAAAAAAAAACTTACGAGATCGTCTCCGGAATCGAAGTCACATCCCAGACGGAACTTGACCACGTTCTGTGGCGTGTCGCTGTCCACCAGTGAGTCCACAGTCTGCGCCAGTACGACAGAGACGTGGGTTCGATTCAAGTCGCGGTAGGTGAAGAGATGAGCATCCTCTTCTTTGTCTACTGGCTGTAAGCTGAGGTTCTTTCTGCGGAAGAAAAAAAGTAAAATTTTACTAGTCACTACTTATACAGGTTGTTACAAAAATACAAATAAAGCTTGAAGGGCGTTGAAGTACATCATACAAGGAGTGTTCTCTAATTTATTTAAAATATTTGCATGAAGTTTTTCTTTTATAAAAACAGTTAGTTTTAATGATCCTCGAACTAGTGACGTGTCTTAAAATTATCCATATTTTTATTAATCATTAAAAATAATTGTTTTTATAAAAAGTTAAAACTTCTTTATATATACTTCGACGCCCTTCAAGCTTTATTTATATTTTTGTAACACGCTATACTAGACCTTGGCGACTTGGTAGTTTTTAGCGTGAACATTGATTATCATCTTCTATCTCTATCATCATCAGCAGCCTATTAATGTCTCCACTGCTGGGGCACAGGCCTACTTTATAGATGGAATAGTGAGATTGGGCCAGGATTGGGCTGCTAACGACAGCAGATCCAGCCGGGACCAACGGCTTAACGTGCCTTCCGAAGCACGAAGGAGCTTTAGATAGAAAATTTTTGGACACCTATCCAATGACCGACTACGAAATTTGCTTAAGTTCAACGATCGCAACCGAACGCGCAAACCACTTGCGCTAACGGACTGCTCAATCTTCACAACGGTAGTTCATTTGATGAGTGCCCAAAAATTTACAATCTTGAACTATTTGTGTTCCGGAAGGAGTACCTATTAAAAAGAGCGCGCTCCTTCCTTAAAAGTCGGCATCGCATTTGTAATCTTAGATTAAAATAAAACAAAAAGGGTAGATACGGCACTAGCCTCACAAAAGTGATCCGCATGAATTGTAGTCCACGACCCTAATCGCTTTAGTCACAACTTGACATGCAAACGACGTACATGTGAACGCCATTAAGAAATATTGCTAATATTTTGTGTTTATACGATAAAACAATGCCTAAGTGTGTTTTTAAAAAGTGCTCAAATTGCTCAAGAACTAAAAATAAAACCCACGGCATCACTTTTCATTCGTAAGTACTATAAAATATATTTTTTCATAAAAATTGCTGTTTGTTTGTTTTGAATCTTATTCGGTAGTGACGTCGAGTACTGGTCGCGTGATTGGTCGGTAGTGCAGTGACGCGGATCTCGCCATCTCGTTCGCGGTGCCGTGGGATCAGTTTTTGTTTGATGCAAGTATGAGCGTACCTTATCTACCCTTTTTGTTTTAATCTAAGTTTGTAATACTCCTGGTGTTGCAGATGTCTATAGGCGATGATGATCACTTACCACTAGACCTTCTCGTGTCACCTAATATCACAATAATGACACTAATATTATAAGTGTGAGTGTGTTTATTTGTTACTTCTTCACGTCTAAACGGCTAGACGGATTTGGATGAAATTTGGCACACTTACATATAGTTTATTACTTGTATTAAGACATAGGATACTTTTTACCCCGAAACAATTTTAGGTACCGAGGGATTTTCAAAAACTTTCAGTTAACGCGGACGAAGTCGCAAGCAGTTTCTAGTAACATATAAAATAAGCCATTGGTCCTGGCTTTACACGAGATTTCATGTGATAACAGGCACCCGCTAATACGCATAACGTAGTGAGCTAATTTTCCTTATTCTGTCTATATCAACTAAAACCTTCCTGTTTTCCTTGCCTTCCTTGCCTATAAAAAAAAGTGACAGCCATCCGCAAAACGTTGACTGTAATGGCTTAAACAAAAAAAAAAGTTTTCAGAAAACTACAAATGAACTCTGTAGAGAAGTTGTTAAAAACACTTATACGTTCAAAAGCAGCTAAGGCACTACAATCATTTCATTAAAAATAATGGTTTTTTCATTTCATAATCATTATCAGCCTTTGAATGTCACCACAGCTAGGACTCAGGCTTTCCCCATGGATAAAGTAGTATGAACTTCCATATTATTTACCTGTCCCAGAAATTAACTCAAAAAAGTCAAGGTGGCAAATAGGGTTGCCACTTTTTTTGTCCAAATAAAGTACATCGGATATTAAAGATAGAAAAAAAGTACATTGTGTCTAAAAGAAAGTACTTTTTATTACACTTTATAAGAAGTAAGCTTAAAAAATATTTTACGGTGCTTCGAGCAACTTCTAATAAATAATTTGTGGCTTCTAAAAATATGTATTTCTTTTCCGCAATGGGAAAGGTCGTGGTACAAAGCAATTTAGCCACGAAAACTGCAGGAATGAGCATAACATATTATACTACATACTGTCGGTCCGTTTTACGCAAAAAAAATCTTCAAACCTTCCTTCCTTTTTGTATATTTTATATTAAAATAATTAGTGGGTAATCAAACCACCATAAATAAAGTATTTTTGCGTACCTAATTTATTGTTGGCATAAAGTATAGAGTACAATTACCCGAAATAAAGTACTTAACTTTTTTAAGTACAATACTTCATAATAAAGTACGGGTGGCAACCCTAGTGGCAAAGTCTAATTAATTGAATTTTATTAGTGAACATTTTACTAAGCTAAATACACAACATTTTTTGTAAAACAATGTAAAAAAAAATAAGAAATACAAATATCTGCTAACGAATGAATGTATCTCCATTTTATATGGTGATTATGTTAAAATTGCGTAAGTATCGAGGAGCACTCGGTTGGAAGGAAATTAAAAATCAGCATGTACGTTGTTAGTACATGTGTACTAACATACAGGTAAACAGATACACACTACGCTATGAAACAGCCGACGATCGTGACGAAAATGGTGACGGATAAATTACACTTTCCCTACGATGTGATAAGGAACTTTGTTTCAAAACATACAACGACTCGATAACCCATAAAGAATGTTCTAATGTCAACAAATCAGTACAAAGAAATTAGCGCAGTAGAACGCCGATTATCCGAATGCCGATTACCGAATCGCCAATTACCCGAATCGGTCCTAAGCGTAATATAAAAAAATTTAAACAAGTTTTTGGAGTTTACTCCTTAAGAATCGATTTGCATATATTAGGGGCCCGGTATGAGAAAAATTATATTTATATTTTTGAAATTGTGTGTTTCCAGAAATACATAATAAAATATATGATGAATATCGATGATGTTAGATGATAAAATATGTGACATGGAACCTATGATAGCAAACCATGGGACGATTCCTGAGGTATCTCTACTTGTAACCGGCTTCTTCGGACTTGATTTTGTTTTGTGTCTGTTCAAAGACAATCGTTTTTAGAGTGTAAACTCCGGTCGTGCGTCGGAGCTGACACACACTTTTTTTTTGTTTTCTTTTGTTGTAATAAGTTGGAAATCGCTGGAATCCAGATATATTTCAACTCTTATGGTTGAAAGCTAGAGGCGAGACACTAGCCCCCTTATAAATAAACGCAGTATAAGCTTTGACTAGTTACACCATCTTTTGTTCCTATCACTCAAATGCCATTTGTCATTCAATGAACAGAGACAAAACATGAAGTAAACAAATCCAAGCTTATACTATGTTTATTAATATAGGGGTAGAGCCTGTGCGGAAAGAGAATGGGCGCGGCGAAAAACGGAACTAACATTAAGATTTTTGTTTGGCAATCAAACCCAGCAATCTGTAAAACGTCAAAGTTTTGTACTGATACGGATTTTTTTTGTTGTTGTGATTTCTTGCGGTTTTTTGTATGAAATCATGTCTAAAAGGGTAAAACCTTACAAATGCGGTAGAAAAGCACTACAGCGCCCTCCAATCTAAATCCCATTCTCTTTCCGCACAGATTCTACATGTTTTGCGTCGAGCGGTTTTTTATTGCTACTATGTACCTCTATTTTTGTATTTAGTGTTGTAAAACTGTGTTTGTTAATCTTCATAACGTTAATTATATGTGTGACAGTTCGTTTTTGTTCTTTACCAATCCGATTATCCGAATTTTGCGATTATACAAATCGATCCCGGTCTCAATAAATTCGGATAATCGACGTGTTACTGTGCTTTTTTATTAAAACATAATGTCCTAAATTAAATGAGATAAATTCTTCTTTAGATAAACTACTAAATGGTAACGATGACTTCTGTATTTTTATGAAAACTAAAATAATAGCTTAAATAAAAGCACCAGCGCCATCTATGCTGCAATCTTAAGATTACTTCGCACACGTTTGCTTTAAATCCTCATGAAAGCTTCGCGTTGGAATGCTTTTAACTTGCTCGTATGGTCGACGTGCCATGCTTTTAAAAAGCATCTTTCTGGAAATTTATTCTAGCTTTTCATCTTAGATGTCTTCCTCTAAACGATTTTACTTGTTTATTGTTAAAAAAATAGTTTTACGCAAATTCAGTTAAGTGTATCATAGTTCCATGAATACGATTTAGTGTTATTTGATTTTTGTTATTTTATTTTTTTTATTTTTATTTAGCAAGTTTCATAGAGATAAATAGTATATAAAAAATGAACAATATTTATTGATATTGACTACCTCCGCGACCGAGTGGTTTATACGCGGGGTTGCATGGTGTCGATGTCGCCTACTCGAGAGGTCCCGGGTTCGAATCCCGGTGGGGGCAGATGTATGTGTGATGAATACGAGCATTTGTTCTCCAGTCATGGATGTTGAATATGTATTTGTATAAAACTAGTTTTTACGGGTTAATGCACGAAACTTTATTTATTTATTGACGTTTCATTTCATATTTACACAATTCATACATAGACAATAAAAATTTAAAAAATCTTCCAATGAAATAACCGAACGCACAATATAATTCTTTCGAAGGTAGCTCGACAATTTTAAATAAAATCATTATTCTGACGATGCAGACCTGAAAAGGCTGCGAAACGTCAATAAATAAATAAAGTTTCGTGCATTAACCCGTAAAAACTAGTTTTATTTAATGAGTGATGTGCGTGAAAACCTAAGAAACAAATATGTATTTGTATATAAATATACATGTACAATATTGTACAATACCTATATGTATTCTACCTGTTACCCTAGTATCCAATAGCAAAAGCCTACATTGCTTACTTTGGGGCTAGG